TCTTGCTGTCGACTTGAAAATGGACGACGGAGTCTTCTGTTAGTAGCTGTTATTGGCGGGGTATTCTGGGGTTCCGGATTTCTTGATATCAGATGGGTTTACGGTTCAGAGTTGGGAATGCCGAGGCAAGGACAATATGTCCGCCAGCTGGCTTGCTCGGATGCAGGAAACAGTCCACCCGAGGAGATACTCCGATTTGATTTGGCCTTGCCTCCATCTCGGCCGTAGTCACAGAACAGGGATTTATTTGGGGCTTTGGTCCCCTTTCTGAAGTGGATAACATGTCTTTCAGGGGCCCTTGATGTTACAGTCGACGAGGGATCGCAGGCGCAGGCTTATGAGGTACGACTTCGATGTTTACGGATATCTTCCTTGCAATATGAGAGGGCTTTTGATATCTTTCTAGACGACAAGCAATATGAATGTCATTCTAGAAGTCTCTTTCACATCAGACAAGCCTACTAGGTAGGATATAGAGACACAGATTGGCTACCCATAGCTCTCAATGGAACTCGTACCTAGGCCTTGCGGTCCGTCTCTCCGGGTGTTTGGATGGCGTATACCTCATGGATGAGAGCTGACGGCGAAGACGGACGCGACCGCGGCGTGAAACATTCGAGTACCGGTTGACGCATTTGAAACCCAACGCTACCGGCTTCATTGGATCCGGAATACCCGCCCTCTGACCGTGACTCACCTTTTGTCCTCCACTGGCAGTATCCTCATCTGTGTACTGTTCATGCATATACACAAATATTCTCGAAGACATCGGATATTGGGCTGTACTCTGTCACACATCCTTCAACATTGAATTCTCTGGCTGCATGTTTGGGACCGGGAATGGCGATTGCGCATCAACATTCCAGTTCGAGCATTCCTGCCACAGCTCAGCCAACCCGATTGCTTCTGGCTTGAAGGATGTGAAAAGGTTTCAGGCTGCCCATTTTTATACGTCTAGCTAGGTATTCCAAATATGAAGGAAGATGTGGCGGCCTGGGATGCTACTGGGAATATGTAAACTTAATTATGGTCAGGTTGTACTTGTACCAGCAAAGCCAGTTCTTCATCTTTCTTGCTAAGGTTGGGGAGCTGCGCGATGTGGTCTTGGTCATAGACCTAGTTCACGTCAAAAGAACTAATCTCAGTGACGATCGACTCAACCAAACTCATTACGAAGTGATGGCTTGCACTTCCCGCACACTATTTCCACCAATAAACCTGGGAAGAAGGACGATAATTTGATTCTGTTTTGACGCCAGTATCCCCAGCTCTCCCCAGGGCACTGGTGGATGAATGGATGGCTTCCACTTTCCACCAGGCTGTTTAATACCTGGTACGGACTACGGAGAAGAGTGTGCCAGTTCCATCTGGCAGGATTCCCATTTGTTGCAGAAGTAAATTGACAGAATTATCGATATGTTTATATATCCAAGTATCTTAACATACAGAGCAATATCCCGGACTGGTTGGATGCCGCCTGACACAAGATAGCCGTTGCGTAAGACGTGACGGCGCTTCGACAACAGATTCGGTCTACCGTGAGCCTCCAAGGGCCCTTTTGGCAGGAAACGCTAGTAATGAATGTAAGGCGAGCCCAACAGACTCTGAGCTACAGCGCCTCACTCAAAAGATCTAGTAAGTTGACGTTGTATGGTTGGTGTCGAGAGCTGCGTTCTTCATGTCAAGCTGTGGCCTGGGAAATGAAATCATCTGATAGATCATCTTTCGTCTAGTGTATTATCAAGTCATCATTCATGGACGATGACGGATGATGATAACTGAGGGGGAAGCGCCTGTAAACCGGGATACGTCACATCAATGTCTTTTGCTTGAACTCTGAAGCGACACGAGCGTCATGGCCGACAGAAACGACATTCTGCTCAATCATTTGCATTGTTATGCCACTTAATTGCGGGCATTCAAATAGCCCACTTGATCGCAATGACGGCGAAGCTCGACAAGACCTTTAGACCTTTGATATGTAATCCCAACTGTTGGTGTCGTTGCAAGCGTGCCTGAACAACCAATCGACTTTGCTGGAAAAAAGGGACAAGAACCGCTCGCGTGTGACGACACGATTTGACGACAGGCACCCCGAAGAACGCTGAAATGGTTGACAATACCTGAATGAGGTAGTAGTCCACAATCTCACTCGCTCATCATTTCGCTGTAGGATGATACGTGGAAGGTATACTTGACACGAAGCTGCTAGACATCAACCGGGGGTACTGGAGATATCTAGTCCCAGCTCGATTGCGCCATGAAGTACCGATTAGACCAGGCTTGCACCTTCACGAATTGCTAAATGTCTCGATTTAGACAACTTAGCTTGATGCCACAAATATTCCTCCTCCTGCTTGCGTCTAAACATCGAATCGCTTTGTCCCAGCCACGTACTTGATGAATCAGGTTTCGGGCCTTCACACAAAACTTTTGGTGCGGATGAATAACATGCCGCATTCAATCGGGTAAAATTTGCTGCAGGCATGACGGGCAATGACACTGTCCTCAAGCACTGAGTTCAACATGTTCCCCTGAGCCTACGATCATGGTTTGAAACTCTTGCATCAGATAATCCAGCGTATATTATCACCGGTCGCGCTGTATGCAAAGTTTCGACAAGGTTAAATACTTCTCATCAACAACCCGCGAGTCCGAAAGTTGTGGTCGCAGCTGGTTTGTATTCATTTCATGACTTTGCCAAGTACTAGATACACAGCTAGGCTATTTCCCACTTTCCGAGTCATGGCGGAATCCATTTGAAGCTGCAGCCCCATCTCGAGATTAGATATAAAAATTCGAATGCCAGATTTGAGGCATACTTTCTAAAAGTCGCTCAGCCCAGCGGCTCCCAAGGCGCATCGGGTCGGCAAGCCACGCGCGCAGGACGCGTCCCGGCCCGCGGAGCTGTGGGATGCCGACTCGGGGGCTGGGAAACCCCGGAATACGAGAGGCCAATGGGATCTTAAGCGGGGCCCGGCGCGCGAACGCGGGGGCCTCGGGGGCCGGGATCATGCTGAACCTTTTTATATCTTGAGCTGAATCTCAGCCCTTTCCTGTCTAGTTCAGCTGATGTTGGACGTCGATGCGACCCATTCTCACACATCACCTTCGCGATAGCTGCCTTAGTGTCCAAACAAAACAACACAGTCACTTCAGCAACTACATCTTGGATCAGGTCATCCACCTCGCCAGTTTCAAATTCGCGAGGGAAAATCTCCCCCGGTTACACAGGTTCCTGCGACGTGCACGGGCCACAATCTGACCACTCTCTCACCCCTCGGAAGCGGAACCAGGCCAGACCTGGTGTTGTCCCAAACTTTCACCTGACCGTTCCGAGTATCTGTCTTCAGAGGAACGAGTTCGGGCTCATTGGTTCCTGTCATTTCACTAATCAATAAAACGACTCTAAACTGCCGAATGAAGTTGTTGCCGAGAACCAAGCATGGCGATCATGGACGAAGATGGGTGCACCGACCATGACCCGCCATCACCAATTTCAGGGGAACTAATCAGCTTCGATCCAAATGGCGACCTCTATCTGCACGTTGGCGCGGGCGTTGAAGAGAAAACAAAGACTTACTTTGTGTGCTCAAAAGCGCTCGCCCGCGCGTCAACAGTGTTCAGAAAGATGCTCTACGGCGGCTTCGCTGAATCAGGGCACTCGGATGCTGACCACGGATGGACGGTGGACTTACCCGAGGACCGGCAACAGCCGATGGAGATGATGCTGAATATCGTTCACGGCGCATTCGAAAAAGTGCCTGAGAAGATCGAGCTCACAGAGTTGTACACGTTTCTTGTCGTTACGGAGAAATACGACGCCACTAATATCACGCGACCATGGGCGAAGGGTTGGATGGAAGGCGTGAAGACGAGCATGCAAAACCCTTTATTGCTTGGGGTGGCGTATGAGTTGGGAGATTACCAGACATTCAACGCCATGGCTATGAAAATTGCGACTGAATGCCATTTGGATCAAGAGGAGGACTTGGTGTTTGGGTTTGCGGGGGAGAACAGGGAGAGTTACACATACAAGCTCAAGAATTTGGACTGCTTAATACCGGACGGGTTGCTTGGTAAATTTCCCGCATCCGAGGATGAGCCAAAAGCTGATGTTATGCGCAGACGACGCCGCATCAATACGAAAGACTCTGCTCATCGCCATGCTGGATCCGTATCTCAACCTCTACGCCGCTCTGAAGGGTGGCGACCGATGCATGTCCTCGCCAGGAGATCCATCCGGCGGAAAGAGATGCGACAGCTTACTCTTGGGGTCTCTCATCAGATCCTTCGCTACGCAGAATCTGGACCTCACGGCGAATGATCCCGTCAAGGCATACCGCGGGAGTGCGTCCCACCTTCAGTCGGTGATGCTGAAGCTGGAGCTGTACACGATCCACTCAGGCTACGCTCACCCGACCACTTCCTCATTCAGCTTTGGTCAGACGGTGCCTTCCCGATTCGGATTCAGCATGAGCGCATGCGAGCACGTCCTGCAGTCTGGGCTGCGGGAAGGAGTTGAGAGATCGCTGATGCTGAGAGGGAATATGTCGTTTGCGCAGCCTAAGTATAAGGAGTATTTGACGAAACAGGCAAGTAAGACGGGCTTGCCAAAGTCATGAGGGTATGAGACATTGGATTTGACAGCCCTGTCTATGGGGAGGCTCGGCGTTGGAAGATTTGCGTGGACACCTCGGTTTGCGAGTCCCGATTAACTCCTTCCGAGACCTTCCGTCTTCTTCTGCGTTGGAAGGAGAGGCTCTTGCCTACTTTTCTCTCTTCTCTAGGCTAGATTCTTTTATAAATAGACGCCTCCCTATGCGCCTACCGGATTCAACTTAGAATGTTCCACACTTTCTACAGGCTCTACAGCAAAAGCAACCGTAATTCAATTTCCCGAAGCACAGCCTCATTATTTGCAACCTTATCAACTGCAACCTTGACCTTCAACACCAACTGCGGAGACACTATTCATCAATTGTCTCTTGCTCATCATCATGGGTGACTCGGAGAATTCAACGAGTGAGCCTGACCAAAGGCGACCCAAGCTGGAAACAACAGGGCCAACCACGCCTGTCGTTCTTGAGGAGTTTGGAGATTTGCAACTCAGAGTTGGATCCGATCATACTGACCAGCCCACCATCTTCCTCGTCTGCTCCAGGACGGTAGCAAGATCGTCGCCGGTGCTGAAGAGAATGCTCTATGGGGGTTTCGCGGAGTCCTTAAGCGCCCAGACAAAGAAGGAGAACTGGGTGGTCGACTTACCCGACGACAGACCTGACTCTTTCAAGATCTTTCTCCATGTCATACATGGTCACTTCGACCAAGTACCGTCGAGAATCGCAATTGACAACTTGTACCTACTCCTGGTACTGCTTGACAAGTATGACAGCATCGGCCTTATTCGCCCATGGGCAAAGCCCTGGCTCAAAGGTATCAAGACATCGGAAAGCTTGCCATTGGCATTGTACATCGCATGGAACCTTGGCCACAAGGAGACTTTCCAATCAAAGATGACGAAAATCATCCACGCATCCTTCATCGACGAGCAAGGTAGCCTGTCGTATGAATAGAATTGCCGATCGAAGGAAACCGGTGCGTGGAGCGTACACCACATCAAGCTCGCAGCTGATCTGGACAATTGGGGCTCCTCAGACGCTCTAGGTGAGCGGAATCTCTCGTGGTAAATTGCAGATCAATCATACTGACTTGGAACACAGACACCATCCGTGAAATACGCCACAAGTTGGTGAGCATTCAGTTTGAGCCGTACATTCAACTCTACGAATCCCTCATCTCCGAGCAGGGACTATGCCGCTACCGAGCTAGGGTGAAGCCCTATCTCCTGGAAGCCGGAATGAGATGTGACTCAGTAGCTCTGGGATCTATGATCAGGGAGTGTTTGCTCCAGGGCATTGATATCATGGCTCAAGACCCAGTGAAAGCTTACCGCGGGACTGTGCGTCAACTGGAAGACAAGCTCGCTGCATTGAAGATCTTCGTCGGAGAGAGCAACGACAAAACTGAGCATAGCATCTGCAGGAGAAATCTTACGAAATATCGGGACAACATTTCCGCAGACAACAAACGGAGGACAACAGAGGCGCTCGTGCTGACACCTCAATACCAAGCCCGGATGGAGGCGTAGGCGAAGAAGACAGGCATTTACGATGCTCGTTGAATGCAACATCCGTGTCCCGGAATATCTCATTCATGGTTACCACTCAATCAGGATGAACATGATCGGCGAAGACGCAGCGAAAGCGTATCGGGAAATCGCGAAACGACTAACAATTCATTGAGGAAAAGGGGAAATGCTTCCGTGAGGTTGCGATGAGGGTCATTAACACAGGCCCCGCGACAAACGCGTTCAATTGATGAGCAACTTGACCTTCGAGGGCAAAATGCTTTGGGGGTAGAAGGGAAAAAAAAAAGTTCTGCAAAGCGAAGGCGAAACATTGGATTCGTTTGGAGGCCCCAGCCCATAAAGCTGGATTTGGCTATCCTCGGCGAGAGTCTCCGGAGGAGAAAATAGGGAATGATGGCGTTGTATTGGGATTTCAATCTGCAGTTTGGTCTGAAAAGGCAGAGCATTTGATTTTGCATGGCAAAGGCGGATCAAACTCTCCCAGGCTGGAGAACACAAAGACTCAGCAGCTTAGATAGCGCCACGGAAACCTAAGAAACACCTACTGATATTGAACCCTGGTCATGATTTCACTGGCCATTTAGAAGTTGTTGACTACAAGTCATGTCGACTTACACTCCTTTGCTGTGGGAAGCTCCTTCCATCTGGCCTCTCCGTACTAAATCTTTTCTGGAAGGAGCCTGCCTCCTTGTAAGGCAGGCACGCTCCTGCCCTTCTGATGCCTCGCACGCTTTCTCTTTCGGGTTCTTCCTTCTGAATCTTTGAAGGGGGAGGTCGCTTTCCCTCCTTCCCTGCCCCAAAATCTCCCACCTTCACACCCGAAAGACGCCAACGACGAAAGAACAACAACTTCGCCATGAACGACAACGGACGACGCCGACCAGTGGTGATAGTAGATGACGACGAGCCGGAGGCCAAGCGCATTCGCCTCGACAAGGCGGTCATGCCAATGCCCACGCCGACGACGACATTTGACAGCAAAGGCGACTTGCACCTTGTTGTTGGCAGCGACGTCCGTGACGGCGACCCGTCAACCTTCCTCGTCTGCTCTAGAGCTCTTGCACGAGCGTCTCCGGTATTCGACAAGATGCTCTTCGGTCCCTTTGCCGAGTCCCGTCCGTCTCCCGAGTCGTCGAAGCAAGGGTCCGCCTGGATCGTGCACCTCCCCGAAGACGATCCCGACCATATGGAGGCGGTGTTGAACATTCTGCATTTCAACTTCAAGGACATTTCCCGACACTTCACACCTCCTCTCTTCTCCGGCATGATAGTTATTGCAGACAAGTACGACTGCATCGGAATCTTCAAGCTATGGGTTACGTCCTGCATGCCTCATGCCCACTTCGGTCACAGATTTCCCCCCAAATTCGCCCTCCATGTTGCATGGCAGCTTGGGAGCACCCGCAAATTCAAGCAAGCTATGGCGGTCATAGTTGATCAATCTTTCATCTCCGGGGATGGCCGGATCTCCATTATGCCGAAGGCTTGGGACGAGGATGAAGAGGCGGCTGACGCGGAACCACAAGACCTTTGCAAGTATCTGGGCGACCTGGTCCCTGCGGAAATTGTTGGTGAGTACCATTACTGCTATATTTTGAGATTACTGGCGTCGCTATGATAAGGACGTCGCTGTCGTCATCAACGCCGCTAGATATTTGTTGTACTAATTCTTTGTTTCGAACAGACCAAATCAGGGACCAACGCGCCAAGCTCATCAATGCTGCTATGGAGCCCTTCATCACGCTGCATGAAGACCTCGCAAACAGCCAGGAGCGCTGTCCTATACCCGACCACCAAGAAGAGTGTGACAAAATGCTACTTGGGTCTCTGATCAGAAGCTTCCGCAAGACAGTCATAGAAGAGGCTACAAGAGACGCAGCCCGGCGATATCGTGGCACCATTCCTGATCTCCAGCAAAGCCTTGATAGCGTGGAACTTCGGGGAAGAAGTCTCCTGGGTACGAGTAACCATGATGATTTTCTGAGGGCTTGTCGCTCGGATGTCGAAAAGAGACTAGAGAAGGGACAAAGATCGCAACTTCTGGAGAAGGCAAAGAAAGGCGACACCATCGTCCCTCTTCCCGGGCAAGAGGAACGTTTGGGCCGGCAGGCAGTCAAGTCGGGATTGCAGTAAATGCGTGCGGATCTGTTTCTACGGACGTCAAAAAGCTTAGCTATTTCAGGCAGATTCGAGCTACACACCCAATTCACTTAATCGTCGTTGCTATTGCTGTTTGTCGGTGAATCAGTTTGTCTCGGCCGATAGGAATTTCGGCCGAAAGTCCTGCGCCAAACTCGTTGAGCTCAACATTACATAAGCAGAACTGCTCATGACTCGTACCGTCTCCAAGGGTAACTGACAAGCTCTGTTCACTTCTCTCCCTCTCTTTGGGTTCTCAACCTCGACAGCAATTCGGCGGCAATAATGGCAAGTCATCGCGTCAAAAGAACGAAGCTTGACGACATCGGCGTCGACCCGCAGACAGTCATCGTGGAGGAGGATGGTGACCTGCATCTGGATGTGGGCCGCGAGGGGGGCGAGCTCACTACCTACGTCGTCTGTTCCAGGGCCCTTGCTCGCCACTCGCCCGTGTTCAAGGCGATGCTCTTCGGGGACTTTACGAAGGCTCGGCCCACAGACGGAAGTCAGTGGATAGTTGAGGTATCAGAGGACAACCGCGAGATGTTCCCAATTTTTCTCAACATCGTTCACGGCTGTTTCAAAGATGTGCCGACGAAGCTTAATATCCAATAACTGTGCGCGTTGATCGTCATCGTTGAAAAGTACGACGCTTTGCCCATCATACGACCCTGGGTGAAAGAATGGATGGAACAAGCAGCCGAATGGTCCGACATTGGATATTCCTCTCACCTGGTGTGTCTTGCTTGGGTTACCGGACATCGTGCTATTTTCGAGAATAACGTGCGAAACGTGATCTACACCTGTTATGGTGGTGAACAGGAGCTGTTTCACGACTTTCAATTTTTCGACCACGAGGCCTTGCACCCGCCGGGGCTGTTTGGTGAGTACCACCTTCACGTGGAAGTCCCCTCAGGAACAACAATGTTCTGACTAGTAATTTATACAGTATCTAGCGAAGCTCAGAGAAGACGTCCTCCAGGCTATCATGAGACCTTTTCTTGATCTTTACTATCAACTCACGGTCGATAAAAGGTCGGCAGAGTCTCCGGTGGCTCGAACCTGCGTTAACCCGGATGAAGCCGAGCAGTTCGACTGCGAGAGCTTATTGCTAGGTTCCTTAATGATCAGCTTTACTCGCAGGGGCCTGGACATTACGCAAAAGGAGTTCAAGTACAATGAAGACCTGAAGGATCTCAAGAAGGAAATTGACAATATGCGAATTCAGACCGACAGCGATCACGATGAATGCGCGTCTCTTGTTTCGCAATATATAGATAAAGGTCGTCTAGAAGAGGAACGGTTGATTAGTGAGGCTGTTTTCGTACGACTGGAACATTTGGAACACCTTCAGAAGCAGGCGAAGAAGACTGGTCTGGACGAACATAATCAGGCTGGTGCTGTCAAGCACCGATATCTCACACCAGAAGCCTGATGAGAGACGCGAATGCCAAGCAGTCACTATAGTCTTGGTCATGATTTCGGTCGACTATTGCATGGTGCGACCACTGGTTATGCAGCGACGGACAAATTCAGGGTTTGAACTTTAATCGATGACAGAAGCAAGCTCAACTTGCTCAAGTGACGGAATGGCTTCTTGCCACACCTTCATCTCAGGGAAAGTTTGACTAGACATTGAAAGCTTGAGTCGAAATTTGTGTACTTTCGCAATTCAATGGCAAAAATACCCAGATTCTACATCAAGGGATCCAAGTAATGCTCTGAAGACACGTGTAATGCGTGAAACCGCCCCACATAAAGTGTCGCGCAGCGACTCAGACTCATCAGGTGCTTTTTTTTTCGCCTTAAACCTTGAAGTTCGCAACAAGCAAACGCACCTCCAGCAACCACATCACTCGCTCACCGACGCTCGGTCGGCTAGAAAAAAAACCGCATCACAATGGAATCTACGTCGGCTTCTCAGAGCGTGTCATTGACAGCGGAAAATGGAGTTTATGACAACGATGGCGACTTGATGCTCCACGTCGGCCCAGAAATGGCACGATTCAGGGTGTGTTCCAAAACACTCGCACGATCATCTCCGGTCTTCAAAAGGATGCTGTATGGAAATTTCGCCGAATCAAAACCTTCAGTTGGCGCAAATTGGGTCGTGAGGCTACCCGAGGATGGGGCCAAGGCGATGGCAATATTTCTGAGCATCATCCACGGAAAGTTCCACGTCACGCCGGAAACATTGTCCGTCCGAGACCTTTACGATCTTCTAACGCTCACCGAGAAGTACGATGCCACCGCCCTTCTTAGACCTTATGCACATCGATGGATCGATGCTGTCGGGTCCCAGACGGATGATCCGTATCTTTTGTGTGTGGCGTGGGAACTGGGTCACATTGAGCTCTTCGAGAAGATGATGGTCGCCATCACTCGAGACTGTACCATTCATGAAGATGGAACGCTTCTATATGGAAGGCCGACGAATGAGCTTTTAAGCTGTATATCAGATGCGACTGCGTGTCTGGATCTAGACAAGAAGCTAGAGCTGCCTTGCTCATTTGATGCGAATTCCATGTCTCAGCGTGCCACACACCTGGATAACTCCTGGACCTTCCCAATGGACTCGATCCTCCATCTGCAGCCCGACAACATGATGGGTAAGCTGGACTGAAGCTTCGTTCATGATGCCCTTGGTACGCTAACAAAAGGTGAATCAGAGACAATCAAGAAGAACCGTATGGCCTTGGTCCAGGAATACCTGAAGCCCTATCTAATACTCTACGACGCTCTGGCCAGGGGCAGATGCACTGTAGATTTGGGCCGCCGAGAACACTTGACATCAATTGAGGAACACTCGGCATGCGACGCAATGGCCTTTGGGTCTCTTTTCAAAGCCTTCCAAAGCCTCGGTCACAACATCACGTTACCTGGCATTGCACAACGGTATAACGGAAGGTTCGCAGACCTGTTCTGTGTTCTACCTCGGGTAAAGATCTTATCACACCACTTCGATTGCTTGAAAAGCTTCGCTATTGAGTTGAGAGAGGGCGATCATAGAGCAGGGGAGAAGTGCAAAAGATTGGAGTTCATTACACCGAGCCAACTTCGCTATCTCAATGAGCAAGCTGTGAAGATGGGCTTTCCGACAAGGAAATCCGAAACGAAAGCGGAAGATGAGGTGATGGGCTTTCTGACGAGGAATTTTGATAAAAAAGCGAAAGAGGAGGCGTTCTGGGGGCAGGCGAGGCGCATGGAACAACCTGCAGCGTCCTGGGGGCACCAACACGCCAATCCTTCTTGGTGGTAAGCTTTGGGATGGTCATTCAGAAACAAATCATACACATGCTTGAATGTTGACTCAGCTCTGAAAGATTCAGAAGCCGTATAGATTCTAGATAGAACTACAATGTCTGGGTAGAAGATAAACTGTGGGACCCCCACAAAGGGTGTCTCGCCAGAGTACATTACAATGGTGGAATGTTTCATAATGGTCTTTCATGGTTGTCTCAAGGCCTGTGATTATGAATTCATCAAAGACATAAAAGTAGACCGAAGCGAGTGTTGACGTTTGCCTAGCGCTCTACTTTTGCCTAAAATGCTTTCCATGGACCGACCATAAGTAGCTAGGACTGCCATTTTATTCAATCACCCATCATCCGAACTCAACTTTTCAGGGTCCAACATGGTCGGCCACTGCGCAACTCCGAAGATGACGACACCCACTGAAGTCAAAGTCTACGACAAGGATGGCGACCTGATCCTCCGCGTAGGACCCACGGAGACACTCTATCAAACCTGTTCTCGCAGTCTCGCTCGGAAATCGCCAGTTTTCGAGAGGATGCTCTTTGGCAAGTTTGTAGAGTCTCGCCCCGCTGTTGGTGATTGGGTGGTCGACTTGCCTGAAGATGACACCCGAGCGATGGGGCTGTTTCTGGCAATGGTTCATATTCAGTTCGATAGAATACCGAGACCCTTGCCGCTTGCAAGTTTATACGCACTGCTCACTCTCACCAACAAGTACGATGCCTCCGCCATTGTGCGAGGATTCGGGCGCTCGTGGATCGCCCCGCTGCAGAACTTTGTGCAGGATTATCGGCTGCTGGGAGTCGCTTGGGAACTGGGTGACTCAATAGTGTTTTCGAAGGTGATGCGGGCGATGATTGAAAATTCGGTCGTTGGCTCAGATGATCAGTTGCATTTTGATCACGGCCTTGGACCCCATCCATTTCCACTCGAAGATTTCGTCTATCTGAGACCGACGAGACTCATTGGTATGTGAACAACAACTTCGTGTCACAGTTCAAAACTGACCATACCCATCGCAGAGATGATTGCAGAAGGACGACAGTCCTTGATAGGAGTGGCGTTGTGGACGCTGACCACAGGCCTGAACATCCGTACGGGATCCTCGATTGTATACGAATGCCGGTATCTGGTACAAACACAGTCAGCAGAAAACCATCGCTGCTGCTGTACGATTCTGGGATCGTTGGTCAAGATCCTTGCTCATGAGGGATTGTCGCTCGAGACCATTTGCGGAGAGGATGCGTTCCGTCACAGCCCTAGAAAATTTCGAAGAATACTGCGAGACAGCAAGATCTTCGCTTTACACCCAGAGTGTGAGAAATCCATCGCCAAGGTTTTGTGGGATGGGCCATGCAAATGGACAAGGTCTGGAAGGAGAAATGCGAGAGGATCAATGTGAGGTTTTGGTGAGGCAGGCAGAGAAGACAGGTACCTATCTGGCGTGGGGTAGCTACCCTAGATGAGCATGAGAGCGGAGAAGGGGTCAAGGCAGGCAACCTCATTTCGACAAGATCACTCTGTAAGCTGGAGATAGCATGGTAGGAATGAATATTATTCAGCTACTTCGATTACACGCTCATGTCGTACATATCTTCATAACCCCACAACTCTTCTAAACCGAAGTTTTAGAGAAGGAAATATGGTCAGACAAAGACTATTGTTCATAGACAACCAATGTTTTCAATCCTCCTCTTTCTACTGTCTAGGAAGTTTGCTGAGGTAGTCGCAATTAAGCGCTGGCACCGTTGAAGGAAACCAGGTTGGGGCTGCCGCTCAGGGTACCGGTAACGCGGCCGGTGGTGCCGAGGGCCTTGATGCGGTTGGTGACGGCAGCGGGGGTGGAGAGACCCTCAAGAGCCTGGAGGTAGACGGCGAGACCAGCCAAGTGGGGGGCAGCCATGGAGGTACCGCTGAGGGAGGCAGTGGCAGAGTTGCCGCCGATGTAGGAGGACAGGATAGAGACACCGGGTCCGAAGATGTCAACGCCGGCACCGTAGTTGGTGAAAGAGGCCGGGCGCCAGCTGGAGTCGATGGCGGCGACGGTCAGGGCGTTAGGGGCGTTGGCAGGGGACTGGCTGGAGACAGGGAGGGGGTTGCCGAAGTCGTCACCGTTACCGGCAGCAACAACGGAGAGGACTCCCTGGTTGTAGGCGGCGTTGATGGCGGTGGTCCAGGTGGTGGTGGCCTCGCCGCCGAGGGACATGTTGATGACAGAGCGGGAAGCACGGGACTTGGAGACGATGTCGTTCACGGCCCAGTTGAAGCCAGCGAGGATGGCTGAGGTGGTGGACTGGCGGCCCTCGAAGACCTTGACGGAGATGATGTTGGTCTGGGTGGTGTTAGTGGATGGGTTAAGGAAGAGTGGGGGTTTGCCGTCAGTTGCGGGAGCGGGATGTCCAGGCTGATGGAACTGATGTGGGCTTGAGGCTCAACTCACCTGCTTGGCAACACCGTAGGTAGAGCCACCGATGGTACCGGCGACGTGGGTGCCGTGGCCGATGGAGTCGACGTGGGCGGAGGAGAAGACATTGTAGCCGAGAGTGGCACGGCCGCCGAACTGGCTGTGGGTGGAGAGGACACCAGAGTCGACGACGTAGGCGTAGGTGTTGGCACCGGCCGAGGTGTCGTAGACGTACTGGGTAGAGCCAGAAGTGCGGTGGGAGATGGTGCCGAGACCCCAGGTGGCGCCAGACTGGGTAGTCAGAGCGCGCTTGGGGTTGACCTCCTCAACGACGAAGTCGGAGAGGTACATGTAGTAGTCGGGCTCGACAAGGGCGACCTATGGTGATGTCAGTCTGCTGCTCGTCTAGGATGAGACGTTTGATGACGAGGCTTACCTCGGGGCTCTTCTTGATCTCCTCAATGGTGGCCTCATCGAACTCGCCAGAGTAAGCGTTCCAGTTGCTGATGTTGAACTTGTTCTCAACACCGACGGTGTCACGCTTGCCGAGGGAGCGGCGGTGGACATCGGCAACCCAGGTCAAGTGGGAGTCGACGTTGGCAGCGGCATCCTCCTTGAGGGTGACGATGTACTTGCCGGGGGCGAACTTGGGCTCATCGCGCTTGATGGCGGCGGGAGCGGCAAGGACGACGGGGAGCAGGGCTCCGACGGCGAGGGCGAGGCGGCGGAAGTTGGTCATTTTGGCCGATGAGGGGAAACCTTGAGGATTAGATCAGAGAGACGACTGAGCTTGAAGGATGAGGCTGAGGCTGAAGAACAAAAGCTGAGAGGATGGCGGGGAGGATGGCCGTCTTTATACATGATTCTCACGATGGATGCGTGAGTAGGAGGAGAAGACATTGGATGTTGTCAATCCGACATCTCATTGCGCCTATCGGCGTGGTATCTTGCGTGATAGTTTGCCAAGTCTATGGTCTCCAGCTAGAAGATGTCAAGCTTCCTAAACTGGACCTAGATCGTGGTGATGGAGCAAGGAATCTGTGGGCTCCGTGGGCTGTATACGAGAGCGAGTTGTTTGTGGGTGGGAACTGTTGCCTCCGAAGGCTGAAAAGCAATTGACGAACTTATCCGCAGTCGCAAGGGTCAAGCGCGCATCATTGGTAACAATGCCTTCTAGTCCCCAGCAGTTAATCTATCCATAAGCTTAGCTCTTTCGTCGATGTGCGGAATGCAGCTCCGCAGTTCAGGAAAACCAAGCGGGAAGCATGCCGGGCATTGGCCATGCTCTATCATTTTCAATATTGTAAATAAACGTCCGATCTAGCTCCACAAAGCAATTCCGCGCTGGCGGGGACCTTCAAGAGGCTTAGAGGGGGACGCTGTGCCATTCAACGGGACGTCCAAGCGTGTCGATTCATGGTTTGTTGCACTGGCTTCTTGGCAGACAAGTCATCCTCGATTTGGCTGACAGCAGACCGTTGGACGTTGCCTTAGTTGAGGAGCCTTAACACACCCAATTATGCTTAAAATGGAAGGTCGCGTAGGGCATTGGTCAGAGCCGATGTAGGCGGACAGGCACTTAATTAAAGGTGGCGCGAACCCACATCTTTCCCGCCTGCCAATTCCGTAGTGATATCCGAGAAAATCGGGGGTTGAATAAACTCCAAATGGAGACGGGAGATCCCCAGACGGGCCAATTGCCGGCCAAGGCGCTCACCGTCGTCCGGATCCAAAAGAAAAGGGTGCCCCGATTTGTCTTGGCCCTCGAAGCGCAGGTACCGCAAGGGGCAATTGGGCAGCTGAATGTCTGGAGGCGAAGACACGGCACAGCTGACGGCGCAGTTGAGATGAAGGAGCATTACATGAAGGAGGGTGAATGGTCTGGGGAAATCGGGACGCGCTGTTGATGCGTGTGACTGCTGATGCGTGGAAGGATTGGCATCCAGGCACCGCGGCAATTGGTTTTCTGTCAGTTGGTGCAGATAGATACTCGTATTAATCATATTGTCACTCGAGCGCATGCTGCGGCGGCTGTTTGTACAGATTCGAGCGTCCATGCAGCCATCAAGGTCAGATTTCCTGAGCGAAATTCATTGACAACCTGCGGTTGAAGATATCGAGCTTCCTGAATAGTCAATCGAGTCACCGTCGCATGTTCGTTCTCGCACATCGCTTTTCCGTGCTGACCTGTGGAGTTGTCTTTCGGATTTACCATTCCGATTCAGGCTGTTCGAACGGATGCCAATCGATCCTCGTGCAGCCCAAATGATGCCATGAACTCTTCGCCCGAGCTAACCCAGTCAACTGCGAGTGACGCAAACTCCCTTGTAGATGGCAGATAGGCTTGTGGGGTCCCGCCAAGCCGCCACGAGGGGAGCTCGGATGTCTTGGGCAACTGCCGTCAAGCGATAGGGGGGCCGTCGCGAAGCCAAGGAACAAGCTTGAGAGAGACAGGGACGGGGCGAATTCGAGTGACCGGCCAGAGACAGGCTTCAGGAAGGCTTCATTGGGGCACTGGAGAACGGCGGAGTCCGGGCCCGGCCGGTCGCGTGACTCGCGCATCGATATCACGAAAAGGCGAACTCCAGCTTGGCGGGAGTTCGCGAATTGGATTGGTTTTGATCATTGGGCTGTGCTTCGTGGGGAAATTTCAAGGTTGGACATCCTGCTGCAAGGAGTCGGGAGGGAGCCGCCGATGGCGGCGGCAGTCAAATACAGTAGATCCTTCAGGACTGAGACCGAAGAAGGAAAAATAAGGGGTGAGGCGTCCTGCGTGCCGCACAGCTGCTTGAGAATGACGGATCAAGTAGACGAGCGCCTCTCGGCAGACTAGACGAAAAGAGGTCTCAACGATTCTAGGGCCGAGCCGACGGGGAAGGGATTAGGAAGGAGATAAAGAATCCCGGCATGTCTCGCTGGCCGAGGTTTGCGGGAGAGGAAATGTACGCCGTGCTTGGCGGCAGGGTTAGCTGAGAAGGAGTTTTTGAGCGCGATTGCGCAATTTGTTGTGCATGTCATCTTGTCCGAAGATCTCACTTGTCAGCAGGGAGAAGATGACTCTCAACTGAAGTCCTTCTTTTTTGATATTTGAGCACTGTTTTCAGGTTCTGGGAGACACGAGGGAAAGGGGGAAATTCCCAGCATGTGAAGGCTCCAGCGTCTCCATTCAGTCGTATTGCCAAGACTTCAACTCAGTGGGGCAGATAGGAACACATCCCGACTTGGCACCGAGGTCATCGTATCCGCAGGACGAACTTTGTTGGCACGTGAGGCAGAACGATGACTTCGGATCGTGTGTTGTTGATTTTGAACATGAGGCTCTGCTTAGAGTCGTCGCGAAGGCTTCTAATACGGTCCAGAGGTAGTTGAATTGAGAATCCGGGGGGTTACAGTGCTTTAGTGAGCCTGGGGAGACATACACTGCGTGGTAGGATTCGAAATCATCCTAGGAAGGCCAATGATATGGATCGGATAGGCCCAAAGATGCATAGCGACGATAGCTGCCGCTTTGGAAGTCGTGGGGTTTCGCTTGTGATGGAAGACGGGAGGATATGCACGTTAGCAGCTGCTAAATTCTGTGCTGTAACACAACCCCCGGGATGTGGGCTATCCCACGATTATTCCATGTGTGGCTGTTCAAGGCACAAGTGCCTAATGCCAGCTAAAGCTACTGCATCTTGGTGTATATAATAACTTTCGTAAGAAGAACGTTGGTCATTTTTATCATTTGCCTTTGGAGTACTGGTATCAATGAATTGCCCGATCTCCTATGTATCTCCTGTGTCACATTCCTGTCTTCAACCTGTGATTGATGTCCCGCCACCCTACATCAAAACCCGTACCAAACTTTTTTTTTTTTTTAAAAAAAACCGCGGCTATACTGTTGTGTGAATGGAGGATATATAAGTACGTTGTTTAATTGCGATAAGTGCGAATCACCATCTTTGCCTAGTATTGCTGGAGGACAACCTCGAGGACAACCTCGAGGACAACCTCGAGGACAACCTAAAGCAATGTACAGCAATGATTTCACCGAGCTTTGCAGGGTTTTGCGAGAATAATTGGTGTCAATTCGATGCGCTTAAATTAGGAAACATTTGAAGCATCTTTCATGTTCAGTCCCGTAATTAGTACGGATGAGCTGCTTCGATGAACAGCAATCGTCCCAAATATTCCAACTACATGGCCACAGACAACTTGTGCAGAAGACATACTCGGCCTGGTACAGAAGCCGTCCCCTAAAGAAGCAAAGCTTCCACCGCTGTGTCGCGCACAAACTTTAGATGCAGATTCCTTTATCACAGTCCTGCGGCAGGATTAGCATTACCACAAGGCAGTGGGTGAGCCAAGGTAAATTAACTGACTGCGCGGCTGTTGGCTTTGCAGGTCTGTGGTTTGTAAGCTGCCGAATTACTCGCAATTTTATCGTACAAGACTCACGCAACGATCGCTCCCAGCCGGGAATGTACAGCAAACCTCGCGTGCAGCCAAAACTGGGTGAGGTGCCCTTTGCTCGACCTTTGACGGCAACTCTGTGGCCAACGTGATGGCCAAAGAGGCAAACACAACTAGGTATGCGGCAATTTGCATGATGATAAGCAGGTGGGAAATGCGTTGTTGGTCTTTGTGAAAAAGCAGAATGAGGAAAGGAATATACGCTCGCATTTACATGTTGGCGTGTTTGCTTTATACTTATAAATGCGACGGAGGGACAACAGGCTTGAGCTAATGTCCTAAAAAGATTCCTAGTCATTTCATATCCCATCGGCTGTTACAGTCTTAACACATGTCTTAGTTCCCGCTTTTTAACATTTTGCATGTTTGATTACAACGAAGACATTTACGTGGGTTAGGACAGACTGGATAACGGCCTAGGGATCGAGAAATCTCTATGGCCAAAGAAATCGTTAGAGGAAGTGGGCTGGGATCGCCGTGTAAATCTCCTTAATCACTTTTAAAGATTTACCATCATGAATATACTTGGAGCGTATGAAGTTCTATCTGGCCTTGCAGTGTCTGAGCCACTTATATGCCCCAGGTAATGCCAGTACTTGACACCAATCTTACTGGGAAGCGTTGGAACCTCGGGGTACACGTATTTGACTTATTTCCCTCTGCAACTTGAAGAGATACGGCTAAATATCAGGTTGAGAAAATCCATTGGTTTCTTGCTGATACACATTTATAGCTCGCGATATCTGTCCGTCTCCTGACTCGACTGAAATTCTACAGCGCAAGACTCGCATGTTCATTGTGCGATGGATACAAATTGGATGTCAAGCTCAAGTTTAATTTATCAAGACAATCAGACAAAGGTCCCTGCCAGTCTTGAAAATGACCATAAGACACGTTTAATGGTACTCTCCTGCAGTTGAGCAAGCGCATTATCACGCTTCATTTTGTTCCCGGTCACAAAAGCGAGTAATAGACTGCCAGGATTCGAGTTTGCCTTGCAGAAGAATGTTAATAAGCTGCTGAACAGCCTTAAAGACCGATATCAGTGCTAGTAGCTCGGAGAAGTTGGAAAACTAATCAATAGTCCTCTCTTGAGACTTTCCTCGGTAAGCCAAAAGAACCGTGTTGCATATCTTGAATGCGATGTCTGAACCAAAACTCGAAACTAGTATCCACGGCTGGGCCTATTCTCAAACTCACTACTTTTACTCACGTTGAGCGCAATACAGTATGCTCGGACTTCTGTCCGACGTGACTAAGCCTATCATCATATTCTTACAAGGTCATGCGCAGTGCCAAGATTCATGCCGTAACAGGTTCACTCTTCAAACAGATTCTCTCTTCCAAGAACTATGGTTGATTATGGTAGTCTACGGCGACGGCGATGAAGAGTTATCAATTCCGCCGGAACAGTGACGGTCGATTCCGTCACCCGGCGAGTGCCTTCCCAATCCGTCCCGGCAATCCCGCCGGCACGACACACGTTCCAACCCTCTTCCCAACCAGTGGAGATCAGACGCATTCCACGCCGCTTACTGACCTAGCACACCCGCATGACCCTGGAAAACCATTCGTCCCTCTCGGCAATCTCACATTTGCCATCCCACGTAGCTGATCGCAAATCAATAGGGGTGGGGATCAGATAACGTCAAGCGTGGGACATTCGCCGCAAAATGCCTGAAAATGCGGGGGAAATATGGGGAGAACGGGAAGAATTCCAAGCCACAGCTGTCAGAGCTATCCCAATTAGGCAATTATTCGCCGGGTGGGAGGCGGATGCTCTGCTTTTACCCCGCGGATTACTTTTCTCTTCAAGGAGATTCGTGGACCGCGCCCTATGGCCAAGAAAAGCACGCGGCGTCAATTTTGGGCGGGAATGGCTATTCTTGAATTCGCCGGGTGTCGATGCCCGGCGCCTGGTAGAATACTTATTTAAAGGGTCTTTTCACGATGGATTGATAGGAGTGTTCGTTTCTGTCCAAGTTTCTTTGCTTTCATCATCGTTCACATCGTCGCCCGCGCCCTTCTCTCCCAGAACATCCAATAAGACATCGCCGTTCATTGCGAGCAACAAACGGGTAGCAGCAAATACTCACCATGCCGCATGCAGAGCCTCCCGCGCCAGCCGGCCCTCCCACAATCGCCGGCGTCCAACTCCATGTCAACGACGACCTCCTCTCACCCAACGAAGTAGACCAGCTCATCCCCTCATACCCAACAGAAGACCTCGAGGTCCTCCGCGAACGCTACCGTGAAAACGGCTACCTTCTTCTCAAGGGCATCCTCCCTCGGGAGGACGTCCTCGCCGCTCGCGAAGCCTACTTCAAATCCCTCGAGCCATCAGGCGTCATCAAGCCCGGGACATCCCCACGCGACGGCATCTTTGACGATGCGAAATCACCCGGCGACTACCCCGGCATTGGCGCTGGAAGCGTAAAGAACTCGCGGCCTGGAGAGACGGACCGGTCCGCCATCTTCGCCGACCAGGCCCTGAAGGCACACACGGAAGACTGGTATGCAGGGTCTGAAGACGGAAAGGTGCAGGGCTTCTGTAACCACCCGGCCCTCCGCGACTTTGTGGCCAAGTTTACGGGTTGGGGCGACAACACACTCCCCGTCAAGAGGTCGCTCTTGAGGAACAACACCCCCGGGAATAAGGCTATCGGAGTCCACTACGACCAGTCGTTCATGCGCTACGGCGAACCAACCTCCGTTACTGCGTGGGTTCCCATGGGCGATGTCCGGCTCCAGGGTGGAGGCTTGATTTACATGCAAGACGGCGAGAAGCTCGGCGAGGAGATTGAGAACGAGTTCACGGCCCAGGCCAAGGCGAAGGGCATGAGTGATGAGGAGACGAGGAATGCGTTCAATGCGAACATGATGACCACAGGATTCCTCTGCGATGGACCTGCGGACTTTGGGCGCAGGTATGGCAAGAAGTGGCTTGTCTCGGCTTATGAGGCTGGTGATGTTGTTTTCCACACAGCGCACATGGTAAGTTGGCTTGCAGCACTCATGTCACTTCACTGTTTGCTGACCGAAGCCCAAGATTCACGCTTCAACGAAGAACTTTGACCCTGAAGGGCGCATTAGACTCGGCACAGATCTCAGATTCGTCGATAAGAGCCGTCCCTGGGACACGGTGAGTTCTTTCATTCGACCCTTCGCTACGAGCCGGTGCTAACGAGAAACAGCGGTGGGACAAGCACTATAGCTTCAATGACGGCATTTGATTCTTCAAGACAGTATGGAACCGTGAAGAAAGGAAGCACTGCATGTGTGTCACAGTGTCTTGTCGGGGTGACGCCACGACCAAATTGCATAGCCACGCGGATGAATTTGAATCATTTTGATTAGAAACTGTCAAGCTCGGCCCATTGCTCTTTCAATGTCTTGACCAACGCCCCCGTTTTCCATTGCACGATGTTCCTCACCTGTGCCAAGTACTTTATCGTGTGTTCCCTCTCCAGTGGATGTCGTATAAGGTGTCCGCCTGCGCCGTTGTTAGCATGCCATAGGAATCTTTTATGCCTCGGACCATTGGAACTTACAGAGAGACAGCATATGCGCTGGGAGATAATACGCATTCACCGCCTCGTTTGAAAGTGCCAACCCCATTAGAATACACAAGTAGAAGGTTATCTCGCGCTTGAGATTACAGAAAGTCAGCTTGAAATTCCTGCCAGCCGTGCAGCACAAGTGGCTTACCTCGCTGTCCAGCCGCTTCTTTGTGCCCTCGAAACCGACCATTGAGTTCGAACTGTTGTAGTCTTGAAACCTGAAAATGGCTTTTGAGGCATAGTAGTATCCCAAACCAACGGTTGCTAAACGCCGACGTCAGTGATCGTTCTTATCGTCAAATGCGTCCAGGTCTTGCGACCAGGGCCTCAGCTCCAACTCACCTGGACATGCACTCATCCACAACACCGGAAACGGTTTTCCCCTCGCTAGATCCGGCCGGTCATAGAACAGCGGGCGAAATGAGACCGGCTTGTCCCGATACCAAGCCTCCACTTCACCCTGAAGCTCCTCCCAAGCGGCGGTGCTGCTTGCCAGGAATCCCGTGCCATCATCAGGGAAGAACAGCTTCAACACCTTCGCGAAGAGGTACACTATCCGATTCGCGTGCGCCGTGTCGTCATTCATCCTAAACGTGGAAGACCTCTCGAAGTTCTCCAGGCAGATCTCGATCGGTGTTCGGCGGACCAAGAATACATACAGCGCCTGCCTCAAATGCACCCAGCTTGCCGCTTCCGCAAGCCCGCCCTGCGTGACAAACCTTGCAATCGCGTCATGATTCAGCAGATTGCGGGTCCCGCGTAGATGGTGGTAATGTGAGTCCGTCTCGTTGTCGTACTCCTCGTATAGGCGCATGATGACGACGGCCGTCAGGAGGGTAGAGTCCCAGGTCTCGGGTGGTTGCGAGAAGGCTTCGATGAGCAACTCGATGCATCGGTTGTGGTAGTAGGTGCTCTCGAGATCAGTCTTTTCGGCGTTATCGTCAGCTTGTGTGTCAAAACGGCTTGCCAGAGCGAAAATGCCGTTGAGGAGGATTGGTGTGCTGAGAGCTAGGCGAGGGACGTCGAGGGTGAACGGGCGGGCATCGTGACATGCATCAATCTGTGTGGAGTGAGATTAGACGGGATGATTAATCATCAGAGACCACGTAAGTGAAGCCTACCGAAGGAGCTATCCTCATGATGTATGTGCGGAACAGGTATGCCTGACGTCCGGTAAAGCCGCAGTGTTCGGGGTCCGTAGGTTGTGGTCGCACCTCAACATCTGATATAAGACTCTCAGTCCGTTCACGCGGCGCAGATCCGCCCTGAGTCGACGGAGAGTCCCCTAGGAGATACGATATCTGTAGCTGGGGTTGGACCTCGCCGGGATTCCATCCCCCAGACTCGGAGGTCAGGCCATCGCGGATAGAATCGAGATAGCCCGGGCTAGAAGCAAAGCTTGATCGGTGTGGAGGCTCAGCCGGCGGGCCCCTGTTCAACATGAACCCGATGGGTGCATTCCCATCACCGTGCGACCCGTGGCCGGTGAACCTTTGAGCAGGCGCCTCGCCAAGCCTCGATCCCGCAGGAGGAGAGAAGGAAAAAGTAAGTTGCTGGCTCTCGAAGGACGCTGAGCCGTGCGGTGACGCGTGAGATCCGATGCTACCACTCCTCGCGGCCGCCTGGGTAGACTGGGTGGCTGGTGACGAGGAGGCTTCGGTCCCGGTCTCCTCTACTGCTCGACTTGCCTCGCTCTTACGTCTGGCTGAACATAGAATAAGCCCCTGGTGTAACGAAAAGGAGCGATGTGAAGGTTTGAGAAGGAAGCTAAGGGGTTGACAATGTGTATAAATTGCAAGAGAATGTCTGTGATGGGAAAGATGTCCAGGAAAGGAAAGTCAAGTCACACCTCTCTGCTGCTCCAGCTTCTGGGCCTTATCGCCGACAGAGGCACTTTTCCTCGAGCTGCCGGGTGCATGCTTAAAGCGTAATGTGGTATCAAAGTGACACTCCAAGTCCGCCTCGACGCAGGCGCCGCATCCCGTCGCGCCGGGTTGCACGACGCATTTGCGGTGACGCCGGCGGCAGGCGTCGCAGCAGCGTCGGGGCTTCATGTAGCTCTAGCCCCCGGCGGGCCCCCGATCTCTTCGTCTCTCTCTCTGCCTCTCTCTCAAGAGTGTCCGAGTGTCATCCGAAACCTGCCGCATTCGGTACTCACTGTCTTGTCTCCTTCCGCCGGAAAGTAATCACCATTGCCGTGAGTGGTGGGGGGTTGCCACAATCAATCTGGCCGGCCGGGGGTCGGGGTGAGGATGGACAGACAAACGTACGATTTTGGGTGTGTTGCGGGGGAAGCAGAGGTGAATCCCGCGGGATACATGGCCTTTTGAAGACATGGCGGGCAAACAGGGCATTGGTCGGGGCTCGGGATCGACGCGATGCGGGGGCGAATGCGGGGTGAAAACCGAGGATAAAACATGCCTGTCGCTCGCTCGCGATTGGGTTCTGCATCGTCACGTTTTAAACCCAAGCCAAGGTTGAGTTGGAGGGTCTCCATTTCAAGTAAAAGCCTCCGCATTTAAGGTAAAAGGCTCCGACCTGCTGAAGAATATGTGGTGTGTGGGCTTTTGCATCGTGATTTTCTTCTCTTCTGTATGAAGTTGACTAACCAAGCATGATTCAATGCCCTGTTTGAAGACTCCATTTATGTCAGGTGATCGGGTCAATGTACAGCCAACGGTACGATCCTCTACCGAAGACCCGGGTCAGCCGCGACAAGATCGGTTGAGGTATTAATAACTCGACGACAAAGATTCCGAGACGACCGCTAAACCCCGTCAGATCTCCGACTTCACGATAAGTTGGAACTTCCGCCCTATCACAGCAGGACAACAGTGGCTGGCGTTATCTGATCACATCCCTTCACAGGATGGCGTCAACGGGAGCCATCCGTGTTCATACTAGGGCAGCCCCGTATAAGCTGCCACAGAGGAAGCATTGCGGGTTTGTCCTGTTAAATCATATAGGTCACATTGACCGTGTCAGCGGATCAAGCCCTAACTAGTTGACCCACGATGCCGAGGGTGTCGAAATCTGCGCTCAACCAGCACCAAGTCCGTTGGTACACGCCTTATATCTATTTAATAAATTCAATCCCACCTCACGCCGGCCTCAAGAGGCGAGATTCAATGTTAAAAGGGCCATTCTTATATACAAACACTCGAGGAGACAATTTCAAGCCGACCCTAAAGATCTAGCACTCGATCTCTCCCACCGTCTGCACAATAAAGCCCGACGAAAAGAATAACGACAGATTTGAAAAGAATATGCGCTGCTGAGTGCTCTGATTATGAGACTACGAGGTACTTAGGCCTCAACACACTGCCACTGAGCACCGACTGTGGTGTTGCCCCCCGAAGCCGAGGCCAGGCGGGACCGCTGAGGGTACGGGCAGAGCAAGCGCTCCTCATTGTCGCCCTTCTCATCCTTCCGTTGCAAAGGAAGTGAGTCTGGAGCCTTTCCCTGCTCAACCCAGGCAACGAGAGCACCCCACATGGCAGTTGGCTGCCCTCCCACACCCCCAGCGCAATGGGCCAACCCAGGAACCTCGAAGACACGGTAAAAGTCCTGAGCCTTGGTGTCCAGCTTCAGGACTTCCTTGTAATAGTGCGTCGTCTGCTTCAGTGGAATAAGACCGTCGGCCTGGATCGGAGACAGTTAGTATGCATTTGAATGACGTTGACAGGATCGACTTACAGTGCCATGGTAGGTCATGAGTTTCCCACCAGACGCACGGAATCCAGACAAGTCTGCATCAGCAGTCCCAATGATAGAGTTGAACTCGCGGATGGACTCTCTGAAGAAGCCGGGGAGGTTCTCGGGGGTCAAGTCTTTCCAGGATGCAGATGAGTTCTTCTGCACGAAGAGGGGGATCCATTTGTCGCCAAACCCAGCGGGCGCGCCCTCGCAGGTGCCGTTGCTGCAGGCGGTCTGGGCATAACCCAGGTCCGAAGTCTGCGCTCCGCCAGATGCATCGCCGGAGAGACGAGCATCCAGGTTCGGGCCGTACCAGAGGAAGTCTCCTTCCGGAGTGCGCGGACCGGCCCAGGTCGACGCGGCGACTACCGCGGCCGTCTCGCTGATCGTGGATGTCTTGCCGGAGCAATTGAACTGCTGTCCCACTAGAGTCATTGGGTCAAATTTGCACGCCGACTCATCGGAGACAAGACCGTCGACGAAGCCATCGACGGGATCGCACTCTGCTATGGCGGCGGTCGTGATGTAGTCGAATTCGCAGCCCTCGGGAAACTCTCCCCGGGAGTTCATGAGGGTCTGCGCCCAGATAGACGCCGAGAAGAACTCGTTCCAGTAGATCGCCGGGGCGGAGGCGGCGATGCCATCGTACGCGTCGGGATATCGCTGGGCTAGCATCATCCCCTGCCGGCCACCTTGAGAGCAGCCGCTCCAGTACGCGTATTCGTGCTTCTGGCCGTAGAGGTTCTCGGTGAGGGCCTTCACGATGATGGACTGGCAGAATTAGCAAGGTACGTCCACACACCCGAGGGTGTCAATGTTTGTCGTGTGACCGGGAATCAGTTGCAACTCACCTGGTCATGGAGGGCCACGGATCCAAAATTTTGGAGGTTGTACAAGTTGACATTCCCCTCTGAGACCATCGCCCACTCGTCCGGAGTGTACGCGGCCTGACCACTCTTATCCCGAAGCCCGGCGTCAATGCTTGAGGCAACATAGCCCTCGGCAACAGCGCCAGTCATGGCCTGATACGAGAGGAAGAAGCGGCCCGCAATCCAGCCCCCGCCGCCGACGGACTGGATGCGGCCGTTCCAGGTGCTCAAAGGCAGCCAGGTCTCGACACCGAGACTGTCATCCTGGCCGGGGTGGGTGTACGTGATCGTGATGTTGCAGAAGTCGACGCCCTCGGCTTTGATGGTGGGGTGGTTGTAGTTGTAGTCCTGCGATGCAGTCTGGGTGTAGTTCAGCACTGGGACCGCTGTCAAGGAGAGTATCTCGGCCCCGTAGAGCGATGGTATGGGGATGTTGGCGTCGGCGCACGCAGAGACGGGAACGACTGGATACGACATGCTGAGTCGTCGGTGGAGGTTTGAGCTAGGAAAGTGGTGAGGAGGTGGTTGACTGGTCTTGCAACCCGGAGAATTTGCGATGGGCAGACATCATATTTCTACTTTTTTCAACATTACCCCTAATCGTTATAGTAACGATGATCTTTGTGTCCTGCCGAGATGTCCGCAACTCCTAAAGCGAGAACGCGGAATGAGGTTCGGACACTGAAAGCTCTGATTGGTCTAGCCAGGGATCACCGAAAGCGACAAGAAGCCATACGCGGTTCCACTGAGTTGATCCGAATTACCCCACAGAAGAGACAACAAGCAATGGGGAAATAACGTCACTACAAGTGTTGGCAATCGGGAACCGGATTCCGATCGTACAGCTGGTGTAGCGTGCGGCAGGAATTATCGCGGTTGTGGACCCAGAGGCTCTGCGTCGGGCACTCTCTCGTAATCATTATGTTTGTTAATCTAAGCTAACCAACGGGAGTCCTCCCAGGGCGGGCAAGTCTAAATCCAAAGTGCACTGGGAAGATGTTAACTTCCGTCTTCAGCCTCAAAATGCTTGGGCTATTGCGACCAGCGCGGCTGGACGACCCCTTCGTCAGGGCCATAACTCTCGCGAGTCACAATGCTCCGCAATCAAACGAAAGAACGGTAATGAAGCCCAAAGCCGACAGCATTGGGTCTGATGCTATGGTATCGAATGCAGGTAACACATTATCTAGGGTCTCACTGTTGGGCAATACTTTATGGTCAACACTTTATGGTACACTAACACAGGTCTTGCGACGGAGATGAGCACGTGAACTGGGTATCATCACAGGACCTTAACACCGCTATCTATTCTTATCCAGGGGTATCTCTTCAGGGAAAGTCTCAAGGGTTTACAACAGTATCTAATGCATAGTACGCCATATTCTGTGCGTTTTGCACCTTGTCCTTATCATCAATGTGTTCACAGCTGTTGTCGTATTAGCAAGACATTCAACCACTATGCTTATGCACAGAATACATACCAGTAAGGGTGATAGCACGCCTTGGTCACATCATTTGGTGCCGGGGCGTAATTGTCGACGTCGGTACACCTTCTTTCAGCCCCAGTGACTTGA